TACAATGCAAAGCTATTGACAGGACCATCTTGGGCATAAGCGACACATCCATAAGTGCCGTCCAACAAGTCGATGCAACAATACAATCGCGTACAAGCGCATATCAAGTAAGGCTTCCCTTTTTAATCATCGACAAGATAACTGACCGCCTGCCAACAGCTAAAATAAATGAAAGCAGCTTAAGTTTTCCACGAAACTTAAAATTAGCGGATCCGAATTATCATATTCCCGGAAACATAGACTTGTTGTTGGGAGCATCCGTTTTTTGGGAACTTTTAGGAAGCAAGCAAATCAGATCATCAAGGAAGGCTCCTATGCTTCAAGAAACCTCTTTGGGTTGGATAATTTCAGGCAACGTGCACCAAAGTGGCACGCATCAACAACAACACAAGGCATATTGTGGCATCTTTACCAACGCAGAAATTTAACGGCAACTGGAAAAATTTTGGCATATGGAAGAAATAAAGCAACCTAAGCATTATTCTCAAGAAGAAATCCAGTGTGAGGAACACTTTCTCGCAACACACTCTAGGAACGCGGAAGGTCGTTTTGTAATACAATTACCGCTGAAGGATGGCATTCAAGAATTAGGAGAATCCTATGAAATCGCCGTGAAGCGACTAAAGGCACTGGAACGCAAGTTAGAAAAGCAGCCCGCTTTAAAACAGCAATACCACGAGTTTATGCACGAATACCTCGAGCTAAACCACATGGCGGAAGTTCCAGTAGACAAAATAGATGACAAACCGGTCTACTACATTCCGCATCATGCAGTACTAAAAGAGGACGGCATAACTACAAAATTAAGAGTAGTTTTTGACGTTTCATGCAAAACAACTTCTGGCCAATCACTTAATGACTTTCTCCAGACAGGTCCAAACTTGCAAGATGACTTATCCGACATAATTATACGACTGCGTCAGCACGAGTATGCATTGGCAGCAGACATTATTAAAATGTATCGCCAAGTCGAGGTGGCGGATAAACATCGTAAATATCAACGCATTGTATGGAGATGGTCACCTAACGGACCAATTCTTATAATACAGCTGAATACAGTCACGTACGGCATGACAAGCTCATCATTCGAAGCCATTAGAAGTATGCAAGAGACAGCGCATCAAGCCAAAAAGCACTACCCTCGGGCGTGTGAAGTAATAATCAAAGATTTTTACGTAGACGACCTATTAACGGGAGCCAATTCAATTGAAGAGCTGAAAAAATTGAAACATGATATCGTTAACGTACTGTCCAGCGCAAAATTTGAACTCAGCAAGTGGAAATCCAACACTGCGAAGATAAGCGAATCAGACAACAATAAAGTTGCAGTTAGGATCGGAGAAACAACAAAAATCTTAGGCCTATGATGGAACACAAATACGGACACATTTCACTATCGCGTCAAGGGAAGAAATGATAAGGAAAGAATTACGAAACGCAATATATTGTCAAAAATAGCCGCTATTTACGACCCCCTCGGATGGATGGGCTTTTTAGTAGTTCGCGCTAAAATAATATTGCAGCTTCTTTGGCAGATGAACAAGGATTGGGATGAAAACATTACGGGAGAGACATGCGCAATGTGGATCTCATGGAAGGCGCAAATCACGCTAATTGAAAATATTTCCATTCCACGAAAAGTTCTATGTCATAATCCTATAAGGATAGAACTCCATGGCTTTTGTGACGCCTCCGAAGCTGCATACGGCGCTTGCATATATTTGCGCAGTGTCAACTCCGAAGGAAGATATACAGTCAAGCTTTTATGTGCTAAATCACGAATAGCCCCTAAAGAAAATAACCTTGCCAAGGCTAGAATTATGTGCGGCCGTATTATTGGTTCACCTAGGCGAAAAGGCGTCTCAAGCACTAACTATTCAGCTGCAGGATACATGTTATTGGAGTGATTCTGAAATAGTCTTGTCATGGATATCTAGTGAAGCAAACAAATGGCACACATTTGTGGCCAATAGAGTACCCGAAATAAATCGCATCACGAACGGTGCTCCATGGTATCGTGTCAAATCCAAGGACAATCCAGCCGATCCATTATCGCGAGGAGTTAGCGCTGAAAAAATGGAATCAATGAAACTTTGGTGGGAAGGACCTGATTTCCTACATCATAACTCACCACTATATGCCTTCAAGCCTACAAATACTATCAGCGACATGCCTGAAGCACGGGTGATAACTCTGATGGCTACAACTGTGGAACCCAACGCAAATATTATCCAAAGGTTTTCCTCACTAACCAGACTAAAGCCCCTTGCACAATGCCAGGCAACAGGCAATAGGAACAGGAAATAACCAAAAAATCGTTAATTACAACCTAAAAAATTCAAATGCTATGATTGGTTGGCAATAGGCAATAGGCACAGAATTTCCAACGTGACGGAAACTCTGTGTCTATTGCCTGTTGCCAACCAATCATAGCATTTGAATTTTTTAGGTTGTAATTAACGATTTTTTGGTTATTTCCTGTTCCTATTGCCTGTTGCCTGGCATTGTGCAAGGGGCTTAAAGCGCGTCATTGCCTACTGTTTACGTTTCAAAGATAATGCATCCAACCACGCAAA